CTCTCTCTCTCTCTCTCTCTCTCTCTCTCTCTCCCCCCTCCCTCTCTCTTTATATATTAAATTGATTCTGAAATGTTCTATATGTAGGATGCCACATTTTAATGGATGTATACAAATAACAATTTGCTTATCTAAAATAATTATTTCATTTACTGAAATCGTCATTCCCCTTATGCTTACAGTTTTGGACGTTGAAGCTTTCGAACGTTTACTTGGCCCGTGTATGGAACTTATGAAACGTAATATCGATGATTACGAAGAACAACTAGTCAAAATTTTTGGCAGCAAAACCAACATCTCTGACATTCGATGAACTGTTTCTGGGCAGAGCCACGTCGCCATACTACTGTACTAAAGGACGCGACACTTTCGTACAGCATATAATATATAACAAGCACAAAAGAACTTGTACCACCTACTTCTGAATCTCATCCCGCATGTTTCGGGTATCATTTCGGAGTCAACTGTTTCGTATGACTGTTCACCTAGACGTATACCGATTAAGATTCGTCGATAATAGTTACCAAGTTTATACCTACGACACACATTGAACAAAGCTGTAGGCTGCTCGATTATATGCGCGTGTTTAACGAAACAACACGGTATTAATGACTATTCTCTAAGACTGTATTGGATCAAAAAGAGAGTATTAGTGGATTCTGTTACGCTCGATCATTTGCGAAATAAATATTTTTATTTATTATTGCCCCCAGTGAAAGACCGCAATATAACATTTTGAGGTCTAGGACATACAAGCATTATTATAGTATTTAACTTATCCCCGCAATGACTCAAGTTTATTTCAGTGTATTCGATCTATTATGCTCATACACATAATTCGTGCATTATCTATTTTTAAACAGATCAGCGGCTACATTTATAAAACAGGAGTCTAAAATATTCGAAATCGAATGCTCTTCTAACGCTACTCTCTGGCAAAAAAAGATAGATTACAAAAGAAATGACCACATTAGTATTTGACATAAATCTTTTGCAAGGTTTCTATGAAATACCTATATATATGCATATCACTCTTGGAGATAATGAAAGTAACATTGCCATTTTTAATGAAAGCAAACAGAATTGTACAATATTCTTTGATACATCCATTTAACAATGTAATATCTTGATAAAATATCAAATCAGACAATCAAGATTTTGTCTATGATTCGCGACAAGTAGTAAATATGCATTTCGCGAATAAATATGCACATATACATACACAAATATGCATCATACGCACATAGTGGAAATAATTTTTTAATTTATAATGTTATTTTACATAATTATTTACGATTAAGTTAGTATATTACGCACAGTAGATTTTTAAAAAAGTAATTATTTTCTAATAAAAGTAAATTCTGAAAAGAATTGTATATATTTCTTTATTAATAGAAATTGATAAATGCCAGAGTCGTATATAAATGCATTCTATTTCGGATATAAAGTACTCTCAAAAGATGCATAGAAAGTCCAGATCTAAAGGAGCCTTAAAATTGACTTAAATGTGCGGATATAATGATGCAAAATAAATGTGTACATTGCGCGTGTACATGTACAAAGTAATTTAAAAGAAAATATGTATAACAACTTGCATACAAATATGTTAAATGAAAAGAAAGGGGCATAACATTTTCTAATTACTTTGTATTTGCATATATATCAGATTAGGTGAATTTTAGCGTAAAAAGATAACCGCGTGTTTAAGCCAATGTTAAATTCAAGTGTGTCTTGCTGATAAATAATGGTAACTTGAGGATTGATCACGAGAATCCGTCAACTTATTTTTATTACATGTGTACAAGACACGTTATGTATATAACATCTATCATGGTGATAAAAGTCCAGTCGAAAATTGATTCAATTATAGTATGGACAAGTGCGAATGCTAGTCACTTTTTATGACCGTGTTTTTGTCACGCTCTCTTCTGACAATTATATCGGTCGAAAAAAGAAAAGATACTTTTTATTACGGTAAACCGTGTATTTACATGACTGAATCTCGCGATAAAGCGGCAGGGCTTTTTAAATAATATCACAATCGTGTGAGGGAGAAAAGGGAGACTAGCATGAAAGTAAAACAAAGTGAGGATAGCATAGAAATTGTTAATTAATTATTTGTATAGGAGTTTTATCAATTATTCTTCACTTACGACACTGACGCCTTGCATGGCCTTAATTTTTTTTTCTTTTTTTTCCCGTGCATGGCTTATTCTCTTATTAACAGCTTAATCAAATCTCGTGGAATTCTTCAAGTGAATAGTTAAATTAATTTAATGGATATCTCAACGCGCAATCTGAAAATAATTCACACTTCAGAATGTTAATAATTGAAAAACAGTTTGTTTGAAATATAATATCTTTAGTCTTCCACTGAATCTCCAGGCTGTGATATTATTTTCGACTGAGTATTTCATTCCTTTCTTGTAATCTCTTACAAGAAAAATAAAAGAATATCGTAATCATTATCGAATTCGCGAGGCATCAAACTGAATTTATTTTAAATGATTCAACCAACGTATCTCTATATGTAAGTGAGACAGAAATTTTAATGGATTAACAAAAGTGACTCGACTGTTGGACACGAGAAACTCTACACGTATTGCAAAAGAAAAAAAAAAAAAGAGCTGATTCGCATACTGAGTAAACTCAATACGCATAAGTACTTACTTGTGTTAGATTACACTCGCTAAATTAAATGTGAAGTATTGAAGTTAGAATCTGTCCAATTCGCATTGCTGTATGTATCTATCATGAGATTTATCTATGTTGCGTGTTGTCGTTTATGTATGAGCGTGAATGTGTTTGCATGTGTGTATATGATGATCGAGCCAGTAATTAATTAATTTATGTTGTTACTATTAATAGTTGCTATTAATAGTTTACATTCTCCAATAGTTGTATAATTCATGTTATCGTCATTAAGGGCAATATATCGAAATATGTCCTACGGATAAATATTGTAACAGTAGTATGCCTTATTGTGCCACTGGATCTTCGTCTTTCTGCTTTCAAAGGAAGAAAGATTTGTGAAAAATCGAAGATACAGATTTTGTTGTATATCCGCAATCTACACTGCTGGATAAAACGATTAGACACTTTAGTAAATTTTCATAAATGCCTTTGTAAGTCAATAACGTTAGCGAATTAAGAGTTTACGATTTCACATGGGCGACAAGACATTGATAAGTATTACTTATAAGATAACTAAGTAACTTACTTAAAGATTTATTCATAATAATTTCATTATATTTTATTCATAATAATTATTAATCAAGAAAAAGTATTACAATTCTATTTTCATTTAGAATGTTTTTCAAGAAAGTGTCTTGTAATTAAAGTCCTATTGTTTCTCTTTCAGTTAGAAATTGATTACAAATATCATTTGTTAAAATATTATTTAAACTTTTTTATTGTCATATATTTAATATGAACTTATGTCCTAGTTTTTTCATAGTGTTCTGTCATTGTGTCCAGCAATGTATTATTATGTATTCACGTGTTATATCGATGGGCATTCACTTCTCTTTCCTGCAAATTTTCAAACAATTTAGATAGCGTAAAATTTCGAATGATTTCGAATATTATTGAAAATTATAAATTTTAGTAAATCTTTAATATCTTGAAGAACTAGTCTTAAGAAATCTTTAAAACTCTTGAAATTCTTAAGAAAAAAACGTTAAAACGACTTGTTGGAAAGTGGTTTGATAGCGAGAAAAATTAATTTTATATTTCAATATTTAAACAAAGTACATTATAACTGTGAATTACTATTTAAGTTAACATTAACATCACGATTTATACAAAGAATAATTTCAATTATTTTTTTAATTTAAAAATGTACACATATTTTATATGCCATACACATTTATCACAAAAACTTTTAATAAACGCAAATATTTCAAGATTTTTAAAACTAAGGAGGCTTTTAAAGTTATCTTTTCACTAGTTTTTCAAGAACTTTTTATATTAAATAATATTCGAAATAATTCGAAACTTTCATGATGACTCAAAGCACTTGTTTCAGCCATCATTAGCTACATCGCAATTCTAGTCCAGAGCGATATGCGACATAGAGAAATGTTTCCGACCAAATAGCATGTATCGAATCAGAGAGATAACGAATTAACGGCGGATATATATCCGTAATGGCTAATAATGTGCCAGTAATACTTAGTTTTTACGTTTGGCTTATGTTTTTTCTTGTGCAACGATATTCCTAATGTTTAATATTTTTAATTTATTAAGTGTATTGTTAGTAGTTATTATGTATGTATTAGCAATGTGTCATTGTGTACGTAACAGTGCACTTTACATCGGACCAATTTCAAGGAGCAGTTGAGCTTGCGACTATTTTCTCTTACTTTTACTCGTATTCCTTCTTTCTATATATCTTCAGCATATTCTTCGCCGATGTAAAAATCCGCTGTATATTTCAAAATGTCATGCGCACTAATAACTTTACTGCCCCTGCTGTGAGTCACGGTAATTTTAAATATTATTTTCACATGCGTGCACTGTGAAACTTTATATGAAATTAGAGCCCTACACATGTACGGTTCGACAAATATCTGCATAAATTTTCAAGTAATTCTCAATTCCTTGCATTAATACACTTAAAGAAAGCACTTAGGAAAGCAATACGAATCTCAAACTCGATTGCGTGCTGACAATCGTCCGGTGTTATCACAAGAACATTTGTATTATTAATAGTATCTTGATACTTTGCCTTTATTTCTTCTTTTAGAAATCTTTATTGGCATGTAAATATCAAAATTTCTACGTTTTTTATCCACACTGCTCTTCTTTCTTCATAAATGGATACTGTTAATATTAATGTTTCGAGAAAAAAAGATTATACGCTTTTAAATTTCTTCGACAGTGACAGTATACAAGTTAATGCGTCGCAGATGCTTACGTGCAATTAGAATAAAATAAAAAAGGAGTACACTTCCTATATGCGATTAAATAAAAACAATCGGGCAAACATTGGGACGTTTGAGGGCCCAGAAGTGTATACGTCTCTCTCTCTTCGCGTGTGCCCATTATGTCCCATTTTCCATTATGTCTTCGAACCAAAGCATGATAAAGAGGAACCTCTCTGATTGTATGTGAATGTTGAATAAATTTAGAATATATAATTAGCCTTAAAATGTGTCTATGTACACGTTGCTTGAAACGTATTATATAAGAATATTATATAGCGGATCAGAATGGTTCTCCTTGTGTTCCATTAGTAATGTAAGTCTTTTAGTGAATTTCTTGGATAAGTTATACGTGCCGTTTAAAGCGAACCACGTCGAAGCTTACTGCAAAGTATGTTTTTCATTTTGTAATCCGTTCGACGACGTATCCGCTTGGTGTATCAAAATTCTTAATATCTTTGAAAGAAGAGAAACGACGAAAAGAGAAAAATGACACACGTTTAGATACGTAATCGTTTTTTTAAGAATAATCGGTATATCTGTATACATATCGCTTATTTTATATTTTAATAAGACTCCGCAAAGTGTTTCTTTTAAACGTGCGTATATAGATCCATTATTATTGTCCGTACCCTATATGTTTGATAACATTGTTTGGAGTGCGGCCCTCTCCCCCTGTACATTTAATAGATTTTATACACGACACATGCGTATACGTAGGAACGTTTTTAGGTACAACAAACTGTTGTAAATTACAAAATGATACGTACTTAACGCCTCTTCGTTTCGCAATGTGTTATAGTATTGTATAACGAAATATGTGTATATATGCATATATATATATATATATATATGTATATATACTTTATGTCTATATGTGCATATATATATAGTATATTGTACACAATTGTTAGATATATATAGCATATATATCTAAAGTGTATATACATATACACGTTGGGTATGCATGCAAATATACGAATATATATATATATATATTATATATAAAATATCAATATGTATGTCGACACTCGTTTCCAGCTGGTCTGATCGGGTATAATTCTAATATAATGTGTTGACCTGGCAGCGATATGATTCGAAGTAATCTAGAACCGAATGCGCAATCGCACGATCCGATTTATTGTACGATACGATGCAGATGTATGTCCATATATAATTTGTTAATATATATATCGAGAAGTAAATAGATTTTACTAAAGATTTCTGTATGCTGAGCAGCAGGTTTATCTACATATATAATAGATAAGTGTAAACCGAAATAATATGATAATCGAAGGACAAGGGCAAATTGAACGAGTATTTGTGTGCGCACGCTTTGTAATATAAATTTGTAAGACGCGCGTCACATGTCGTCTAGTTTCTTTTTATTTTTCCGATAATACAAAACTTTATTTATACAAAGAAAACGAATTTCGTCGCAGATGCGGTGTTGTAATACTTATGACAATTATGCTTATATTATATAGCTCAAGATAGCCCAATCGATAATTGAAAATCAGAAAACTCGCCTTTATGTGCTTGTATCTCAGCGATATCTAATAGCTAATTATATTTCTCGTTGAATTATATATTTCATTGACGGTTTGTAGCAAATGATGTCTTCGGACATATTTTCATATAACGTTCGTTGGAACTAAAAGATTCAAATCTTCTTAAAAAGTGATCCTAATTTAATTAATTATTAATTATCATACCAAATTCTTTCTTGTTGAATATTTAATAGTTTATATATTCTAAATATTTCTCTGCTTGATACAAAAGTGGGGAACAGATTCTCAACAGCATATCTATATATGTTCAACAATATATACTAATACTGACATGCACAGCCATATTGACAAACTGAAATTAATCGAATGAGCTTGTTCATGCATACAGCTGATGTAATTTATCATTATACTTGTCTTCTCGTACAGGTTGTCGTAAAAAAGTTGGATGCTGTTTTAAAGGTTGTTCTTAACAGAACCAGGAAAGCAATTTACACAAAGCGGACCTCCTAAATTGCATAATGTTATGATCTTCGCGTTTTTACAGTCATCATTGCAGTTCGCTGTTGTATTCACTTTTACCATCACAACATTCCCTTTAAACAGCTTCCAAATCCATTCCGCGATACTCGACGCGCGTAAGCTGAGCTCGGAAGTTCATGTGCGTATTTTCGCGATGGAGCCTAAGCGCGGTTGTAATCCAAAGTCAAGTCTCAGATGCATACAGTGGAAAATAAATATTCGATGTGTCTCCTTTTATGCTTGATCAGCTAACATTTCGTACACGCTTGTCACACAGCGTCACTGCCCGAGATTAAGTAGCGGGGCATTTGATATTTCCCCCGTGTAACACCGTATCTCACAGTCGTCGTGATTTCATACATCTCGGCACGAAGAATTCTATAGAAGAATGTATATTCAGTTCGCCAGGAAACTTCTCGTGTCCCATTCGCGAGGCTTCGTCTCTTACTCTTGTATACTCATTCGGTGGTTCTGCAAAATATCGTCCGGGTGATCCTATTTTTCTGGCAAACGCCCCGGTACGTTGTACAATCTTATATGAAATAACCGGATGCGAGTTTGTATTCGAGCAGCGAGCAACAATATACACTTGGTATACTATAAATAGATAGCATAATAAAAAGTGAGAATATAATAAATGAATGGACCTGTACAGAAGTCTATTGTATTTATTATTATTGGTAACTCACGTTTACGCACTTTCGATTCTCGTCACTATAAATAAACTATTTTAAATGAAAAAGAAAGCTGAATGTTTTGCGTATTACGAGAATTGCCAACATTCCTCTTATAATTTTAATCCACTGAAATGGCAGAATAAATGTAGGTAAAATTAATCATACATTGGAACATAATTAAATTAGTATCTATCTGTGAACAGTATTAAAAAACAAAAGTGCAAAATTTTTATGAAACTCTTTGGAAAATTTTTAGTCTTATACGTTTTTATATCGTATTATAAGTGTAAAGTAATACTCACTTTATTACAGCAGTATGGTCTAAATAATTGTAGTCAAGAGATTTTTTTGTTTTATAACATTTGATTTCTTTCCTTGATTATGATACAAATATAATAGATTTTCTTTAGAATCGGTTTAAGAAGTTTCGGAATTACTCTTGCTTTTTTCTGCCATACAGATTGAACAATTTATAAAAAAAAAGAGTTAGTCTTTATTTACACTAAACAACCTGTTCACTTTACAAAATATATTCATTAATGTTGTAACATTTTTTTGGCTTCATTATTAAATTAATAACAATAACATGACGTTTTATAATTTTTTAGAAGCTTCACGAAGGACCATATCAGTTCTTTTATGTAAAACTAATTCTACAAAAGCTAACGCTATCAACAATGACCAACCAATCTGTTCTTGACAAATAGAACTTTGTGTGTTATACATGTTTCTTAATTCTGTTCCTATTAATACTTTTGGTTCCTTTGTTTTTATCAATTCGTCGCTTTCCTGCAGTAACTTTTGCACCATGTATTGTGTGGAAATCGTCTCGTTGTCTACTACAAGTTCGTAGATTTTCCGTAATACACACTGTCGAAGTATACAGATGTTGTTTGCCACAAACTCTGTGGTGTCTGAAAAATATATACTATATATATATATATATAACAAAATATTTATATTAAATATTTCTCCCATACACAATATATAGCAAAAATATCGACACAATAACGAAGTCTTTCGAATTGAACGATAATTGCAGTTAGAAGTCTTTACACTTAAGACTAATTGGCTTTAAACTGCTATTAAATTTAGACTGTCACAAAACAATAATATAAATTAGAAAAGAATATTATGTTTATTAATCAACAATCTTAGTTAACATTTTATACTTCTCTTTATAAAGAAACATTCCTCCAACTCATTAATCACTGTAGCTTTAACATGATGGAAAAATACAATTTTCATACCATTAAATTTACTATCAATCGTCAGGTGAGACAAAATGATAGCGCCTATTATATACCGTTGTATAAAATTTTGATAAAACTTAGTATTTTTTATATGGCCCGTATCACCACCGGTCTCTTGCATTATATACCGATCGGCCTTCGGTAATTCTTTAGCAATTGGTAGAGTCTAAAAAAAAAGTTGTGATAAAATATCTGTTCCATTTAACAGCAACTCTATAAACGACAGGTTTATTTTATAAAGTAAATAATAAAAAAACTTTTTAATATTTTAATATTTACTGTTTGAAGTAAAGAAAGAATATCTTCTTTTTTTCCTTTCTGTGGAAAAGATTTATAGCTCCACTGTAATACTTCACAATTGCGGTTTAATAATGACCAACTTATGATGTCATGTCCTATGTATATGCCCAATACTGTGTTGATATTCTGTAACATTTAAAAAAATTGAATTGAACAAAAATGCATGGACAAGATAGAAAGCTAGTAATACTTTTTATATAATTCTTTAACTAGAAAATTAGGAAGTGTTATTTCTTGTGTACTTTATGATTATTTTCAGTACTTCGTGGAGTTATAACTAGGCCTGACATAATCTTCTTAGGCTTTTTCCTTTTCTTGCCATATATAATTGATTTGTAAAAATTATATATCCATCTATTATTCATATTCTGTACTTGTAATAAATCATCCAATGATTCAAATGGTCCATTATTTTCACGATATGATTCTAATGTCTGTGCACGCTTTTTAGTAATAGAATACCTTTGCAAAAATGATTTCGATAATCAATGCATGATCAAAAATTTATAATATTATTGCGTGTAAGTTCAGGAAATTTTTTTACATAAATAATTAACTCACTGTAGTAAATCCTCTGTGGTTTTGTTATTTATTATTTGGAGTATTTTCTTTTTATCTTCTGGAGAGAGAAGGTTCATATCAAAAGTGTCAGTGCACATGCTTGTTTTAAAAATAGCAGTTGCACTTAGTGTCCAATCCTTATAGATCTGTAAAACGAGAAAAAAATAAGACAGATTAAAAATTCTAAAAAAATATTAAAAATTTCATTGAAAAGTTATAGAAACAAAAAAATATATAAATTCATAAAGTTTACATGAGATATTATTGAAAAATCATCTCTTACATATTTGCTATTAAAAAATTACTAACCTCAATAACTGCAAAAAATTTACACAATACAAAACCTTACCTTTCTTTGTACTCTCTGAGTTTTAATAATTGTACTAAAAAATCTCGTGAGCATTCTGTTCCACATTTTGTAAAATTATTGACATCAAATGTGATGCAGCTAATCGCTAATCATTTCACTCATATATATTCAACTAGTTTCTATTTAAATTCATAAATGTGTCGGACAAAATGTGTCAATTTCCAAATAATATAAATAAATATTCATATATAAGTATGTCAGAATTTGTATTGCGCCTGTATTTAATACAAAATAGATGTATTAATTAGATTTTGGAGCACAGTTGGAAAGAGAAAGAGGAAAGATAAAAAGGACGGAAAGTTCTCACGTTGCTTGGCACTTTTTACACCCAGCATCTTCGATTTCTCTCTTTTCAACACCCGAATACATATGTATGTAAAGGCTTTAACACAATAGCACAGGCAATAGGCACAGGCAACAGGAATAACAAGCCGTCCAATCAGAGCTCTGGTGTGTAAGTTTAATATTAAATTCCAGAGCTCTGATTGGACGGTTCGTTATTCCTTGTTGCCTGTGCCTAATGCCTGTGCCTATTGTGTTTAAGCTTTATTTCATTTTAAGTACAAAAGTTTTCAGAAAGTCAAGCAACGTGAACAGATCCTTTTTTAGTAGTGAAAAGAACAATTTCTAGTACATATATCTTGATACCAAGGTCCAAGATTGCCAATTTGGTTCAGCTGTTGTTAGAACATCAGAGAATTTTGCTACCTTGGATTGGTTACACTGGAATCAGCTGACTAACTGAAAATTCAAATTCCTTGGATTCTCCAAGTTTATAAGTTTCACGAGACTGAACGAGAGATTCGTGAATGTTGTGGGTTTGCATATTATTTTACGCAATATGCAGCAGAGTTTAATCAGACGTAGATCGTCTAGTAATCCGGTAAGAATATCCACGATCGAACGCAATGACAAAAGTTTGACCCGAACCGATCAGCGAAAAACGCAAACAATGAGGAAATCAAAGGGTGAAGCTTCACATATTCCCAGGCCTCGTTTTAGAAGCTCTTCCAGCGATCGAGCAGGATCGCTTGGCAGAAAATCGTGTTTGAAAACGACAGGTAAAGCATTGCATGTAAAAGCATACTGAAAATTTTTATTTTTCCAATTATTAGGGTTGACCAAAGACATAAAGAACGGACTGCGCGATCCGTGTGTCAAAATGGTCGATAGGGATGAGAGAGGGACCGTGGCAGCGGTCATTTCTATCTTTTTCCATTCAATGGTGTAATGGGAGAGAGAATGAGAAGGTGATTGGCCGCCTCCTATGGTTCCTCTCTCTCATTATTGTCGACCACATTTGATATATTACTTAGATATGGATCGCGCAGTCCATTCTCTATGTTTTTGGGGTTGACAGACTATAGAGACCTCTGTAAAAAAAATGAATTTCTTTATGCTGAAATTATGGCTAAAGGATCGAAAAAACGATATTCAAGAAAATCGCCTGAATGTACGGTCCTGAAGGCTCGTACAGAGCGTTTTTTTTTCTTTTAAGGGAGTAAAATAAAAATTCGTTTTGATATTTTACCAGAAGTGCGTTCCGTTTCACACATGAGGCCTGTTCTTTTTGGCTGAACTTTTACACCAGTTCATCTTTCTTCCTCTTTTTTCTTCCTGGAGAGAAAAAGAAGAAAGATTAATTGGTGCATAAGTTCAGCCAAAAAGAACAAGCCTATGGTGCGCATGACATACCATTTTATCCTTGTTCACTGAATATTAAAGAAAGATAAAGTGATATGTTATGCGCATCATGCGTGAAACAGAATCTAGCCTTGATCTACACTATAGTACAGTTGAAGTGCAAATAATTTTATTTATTATAATGTTTTATAAGAATCAAATTGCAAAATCCAGTTCTGTAACTTGGTAGTTTTATTAAACAAAAAAACTAAAAAGTTCTTAGAACGCAATATTACTTCTAGGAGATAAAATATCAGCATGTATTTACATCGCGAATAATTTTATTTTCTGTTATAATATGTTAAATTGCAAATCTACTCTTTAGTAGGCTTCACAAAAAAAGTTTCATAGCAAAATATTTCTTCTATGGTAAAATATATAATGCAGATATCTTTATTGCAAATGAAATGAGTTGGCTTGTCGCTCCTGTCAACTCTTATATGAACCAGCATAGAAAATGTTTTCAACAAAGCCAAAGATTTAATTTAAAATAAAAAAAATTAATAGTCTTAAGGCTCGATAAATAAAAATAATGAAGGTGAAAGTCAGATAATTGCATTATCTTTTTATTGTTTGATAATGATTGAGGATCGATGTCGATTCCATTATCATTTCTCACAGGACTGTGACTCGATCATCACATTGATCTTACTATTAGTTGAAATGTTTGCAAAATCAATTTTGTAACAATTAGATCACTAGGTTGATTAACTCACTTTCACCTTTGTGATGTAACTTAATTGATTTAATTTGAGATATTCAAATTTTTATTTAAATCTATTTTTGACTTATGTATGTGTGTAGGAAGGACTCCGCTACGCCAACCGAGAACTCCAATCACCCCAGTAAGAGTTGCCACTAAGCTTAATATACCAACCATAGTAGTTACAGCAAGTTCTAGCAAGCATCATGCGTCAATACCGATGGGTCGATCACCGTCTGGCGACCGTGCTAGCAGCGTGGGCATTAAAGGTCCCAGAAAGGACACAAGACCCTTATTGGATAAGACTTATCAGGCGGCCTTGCTAAACAAAATAGATAATTTTGTTTATGTAAATCAATATTCAGCAATGTTAAACAGCAATGGCAGTTTGAAACCGATTACATTAAAGATGTTTGTGGAAGTTTCTGGCTTCCTATTGAAGTATCTTGATGTTAGACATGCTCTCACAATGGCAAATTATGTAGAAGAATTACCGAAATGTGCAGAAAAGATACATTATCCTAGCAAAATAAAATCGTGGCTGATAACTGCTAATGCACCACATTCGTGGTCCAATGTTCTCGGTTGGGTCGGTTGGTTGGTAGAAGCATGCCAAGTGAAAGAAATCGCGTTCAATAAATATCAACTGGAAACATTGCCATTCATAGGAACGGAGCAGCATGCTCAATGTTACAAAATGGAGTTTCAAGCACTGTTGGAATGTTATAAAGCTTGGACTGTAGAAAATCGCGACGAGGAAGCAGAACTATTGGAACGATATCTGCAGAATGTTTTAGTTCAACAAGGTATTACTGATGATGATATAGTGCAGGCACAAAAAGAATTGGAACAAGAAGAAATGAAGTTACAAATGCATGAAGAAGGATCACAGAAACATGACGAAGAATTGGAATATTTACAACAGAAATTAGCATCTTTGCGTGCCAAGGAATCTCAACAATTAAGCAATATTAAAACTATGGAGGATTACATAAAAAAGGTTTCCGCTGAGACAGATCAATTAAATTCAGAACATCAAGTTTTAGAGGAACAAATTCGGATAGGAAATATACAACACGAAGAATTAGTCTCAATTGTGAAAAATCAACCAATGTCTAAAACTGAAAAAGAAAATATTGTTAAAAAATGTACAGAAATTCAAAACTACATACACCAATTTGATGAGCATTTGAATGATTACCAAAAGGAATTGTACTCTTTAGATATCAAATTTGCGACTTTCAATAATAATCTCAATAAAGCAATATTAGCATATAATAAGGAAGTCTTTATGCATATTGATAACGACGTTGGTGTAAATTTCGAAGAATTAAAGCTCCCGGAAAAAGGATTGTTGGATCCACGGATAATGGATATAATGCAAGAGAAGGCCACTTTAATAAAAACATTCAAAGAAATATTGAAGAAGCAATACATCGAGACAGAGTCTCTTATTCGTTCTGACGCCGCGAAATTGGAAAAACTGCAAGAAGAAATTAAATCTTTGCCAGATGAAAGCAAATTGAAGGAGGAAATATCTTATATTAATAAAATGAAGGCAGATGCGAAAAAGAAAAAAGCAAAGCTTATAAAACGCATAGAAAACTTGAAAAACGAAATTAAAGAAATGGAAGATATGATGCCAGATACACAAGCGGTAGACTTCGAAATAGAAGAGGCACGAGACAAATTAGATGCTGTTATAAGAAGAAAAACATTTTTAGATCAAGCTGCCAAACAATTTTTTGGAGAATTATATGAAATCATCGGCGAACACAGAAGAGAGCTTCATAATATTTTAACAAAAGATAGAACAAAATAAAACTACATCTCTGTATAAATATTTTTATAATGACATGTCCATCCTTATATTCTATTATTTGCATTACAATTTTAATATACATCATATTATATGGTACCAGTTGTGTTATTAAAATATAATATATATACAAAAATGTTTATTTCAAATAAAAGATTTTATAAATATGTTTTCATATATCGCAGGACTCTTATGCGCATGTCACTTATATACAAATAAAATAGATATATATTCTTGTCTCGTATCTTTTTCTTTTTTCTTTTTTTTACAAAATGATGCAAATTCTAGTATGTAAAATATTTTTATTCTATTCTATGTCATGACAATATGCAACTCGCGTTTTTTCTTTTTTTTTTTAAATTTTAACGTCTTCTGATAAGTTACACAATTGAAACAAAACGTCTGTTTTAATTCCACAATGTACTTACATTAATAGTTGAGTAACAAAAAAGAGATGAACGAACACTATATATACTACATACAAGACATTACATTCAAATAAAACATTCGCCTTTCGAGAATTAATTGTATTTTACAGTTCGTTTGGTTCTTAAATATCATGAATAATTGATCTTCTACTTGAGGAGTAACTTTTTAATTAGCTTGCTGTATAATTTTACTTCGAACGCCGACAACGTTTATATAAAAAATCAAATACATAAAATGAGGCTCGAAAAAATCTATCGGTAAAAAATAAAAAAGCCCATCAGAGCCTATATCTGCTGTTCGAATGCATAGAAAACACTTTATTCTCGTGTGAATGTAATAAAACGAATCAAATATAAACGTTTCAACCCTTCAATTTGAGTCTGATGAGCTGTTTTATTTTTTACTGATATATAAAAAATGTTATAATAAATTTTGTTCAAAATATAACAGACATATACCTCATAACAGAAATAGGAGATTGCGCTCCAACTAAGTATTGGAATGTGAAATATATATATCTATATTATAATTATCTATTTAGTATAAGTATTATGCTTTTTATCGATGATCAAATAATCATCCATGTATATTTTAGA